TAATTTTGAAGTGTGTTCCACTTCATCAAGTAATCAAGGAAGCAAGTCTGCTTCATATGTCCACTCCAGCACCTATAAGTGATAGTGACATCACAACAGTGTGATTCCTAAAGCATTCCATTTAAACGCTTCAGATGTTCCACCAATAGGAGACATTTGCATAAACAAAATCATTGACAGACACCCAATAAGATACAGAGGGCAGTTAGCAAGTGAAGGGCGTAAAAAAATTGGACTTGAACGCAGCCAAACTTTTGGTGAATCATAGTTGTCGCCATCTACTGGTGTACAGAAAAAAGTTACACTGAAAAGGCATTTTGGTGAACGTATGGAGTCACCATATTCTAAACTAACAGTCAATCACCATATGATGCTTATTGCTCTAATTACAAATGATGTGGAACAATTATTTAGGATAAAAAAATTTCATTGCATGTACGTACTGACTGAGAACTACTAACTTCACTTCCCATTTATGTATTCATTGCATTTCTTGTTGGTAAACCTAAATGTACTTTCCACGCCATAGAAACATATGGTCCTTCCAGTGTAAACAAACAGCCTGCTATTCTGCCTGTTTTCCGCAGGAAAAGCGACAAACATTACAACAGTCACTTTGAACAAACCTCAATGACTCTCGCTGAGGTACAAAAACATTCAATACCCGGTTCGGTTTAACCTAACATTTTCAGCGACTGAACATAAGGCGTGAAATGAAATCTCGTGCCTCGTCTCTCACTTACGTTTACTGCGGTTTGTTGCGATCTAACGGTCCGCCCGATGTGTGTCTGGATCCACCATCTTCATCGCCTGTCTGCTTTCTGTCAGTTTGTGGGCAAATCCGACTCCTCCCATATCAAACGCTAATCAAACGTCACCGAACGCTGCTTAATTTCTCAATGAACTAGATGAACTCGGCTAAACATCAGAACAAGAAGGGGTGCGAGCACATAGCTGTCATGAAGAAGGGGTGCGAGCACATAGCTGTCATGAAGTGCATAGTTAGAAAGCCCTTTCAGTGGAATGAGATGGGTGCAAATGTCTATCCATGCCAGATTAAAAAGGAAGTAGCAATATTTGAAATTAGTTAAAATTTACACACAATTATAACTTCAGAATAGCTATGGAATTAGTTGTTTTGTGAAATACCCATTTCCAGTCACAATAAATGAAAACACTTGCTATTCTAACTCAGAAAAAGCATTTTTTTAATAGAAATGAATAAGCATTGGAAATGTTCATTACATTAAACTATGTTTATTTATTTATTTCACTCAAACATTTAAGAACTTAAAAGGTTGTAACTTAAGCTGCTTTTCCACTATCGTGCTGAATCGTTTATATGGTGAACCGTTCCAATTCTTTTCCAAACCGGCCCAGATAGCACGGATATGGTTTCATTTTCCACTGTCGTTCTGCAAGCTCTTTGAAACCTTACACAAAACGCTTTTATTTTCTGTGGACATCTAATTATCTTTGGTAAAAGCAAGTTATCTTAAATTATTCTTCATTAAGATAGCTTGAGTGTGTCACGGTGGTGCAGTGAGTAGCGCAATCGCCTCACAGCATGAAGGTTGCTGGTTCGAGCCTCGGCTGAGTCAGTTGGCATTTCTGTGTGGAATTTGCATGTTCTCCCAGTGTTCGCGTGCGTTTCTCCAGGTGCTCCGGTTTCCCCCACAAGTCCCAAGACATGTGCTATAAGTGAATTAAGTAGGCTAAATTGTCCGTTAGTGTGTGTGAATGAATATGTATGGATGGTTCCAAGTGATGGGTTGCGGCTGAAAGGGCATCCGCTGCATAAAACATATGCTGGACAAGTTGGCAGTTCATTCCACTGTGGCGACCCCAGATAAATAAAGAATCTAAGTCAAAAATAAAATAAATGAATATCTTGACTTAAAGCATTTGAACAGTAGGATCCTAAATGGCTTAACTTCCATAATATGAAATGATTTTGGGAAATAAAAAAAGTTATGAATTAAAAATGAACATGAAAGCAAAATATGAGATGGACTGTTTCAAGAGTAGTTTTATTTAATGTGGTAGGCAACTGACAAAACAACTATGGTTGATGCAGCTTTTAATACAAATAAATATAAAATACATAATGAGATGCTTATTAAAAACCTACAGTACCTTATCAGCTTATCAGACATCACATGAAGAAAAATACAAAATATTAGACTACATCGTTTCATTTGAAAGCTGGACAACCTTCATAATGCTTCTGCATAGATGTAGCAGTCTCTTAAAACGTGTTATGCAAATAACAACTGTACAACAATGGAAACTGACATGACATGATTTGAAATACTATGTGCGTCCTCAGTTTAATTCACATTAACCTACAGAACTTTAAAACCTTTAAGGTTAAAATATGAGTCTTACAGAAACTGCTTAGGAAGTGAAACATGTTAAGCAGGAAGCCCTGAATAAATACAAAGACATACATAAATATTGTGAGCTTTCAACAACATAAGACTCTTCGTTAAGTTATTAGGAGACACATTTGAAAGTCATTTATAGTCTTATCATTACAAATAGCTAGTGGTTAATTGCTATGGCAGCCAAACAATGTTTTCTCTCGCAGCATGTATGCATGGGAAATGAAAGTGAAATTTATACTAATAAAATGCAATCAAATACAAATCACAACATGACCTTGATCCCAGTGTACACACAATGAACATGCTAAATGTTTTCCAAAGATCAATGTTTTAGATAAACTATTCTTCAAATAATAACATTAGCAACAGATTGCATCTATTATGTGACCAAAGGGCTTTAAAGAACAATTGCAGATCAATTCCAGTTTTAGACTGTTCTTCCTAAAAGGATCCTATTAGAAGATTGAAAAACGTATTTTAATTTTTAAAGCAAGCTCCCATTTTCACACATGTACTTAAAGTGATAAGTGATAAAAAGCTGTCAGTTGAACATATATTATTATGGAGAGGAATGGTGTGGGGGACAAGCTAGTGAAAAAAAGCTTTTTTCAGAATTCAGTGACAGAAATCCGGTAATTTTGCTGCAGCAGCTCAAGAATCTCAAAAAGTGTCAGTCTGAGACATGCAGGAACAGAGAAAAGCACTCTGACATGGACCTGAATAGTCTGAGAGTCAGTCTAGAGATTGTATAACTCAACATTACTTTCAGAATTCCAACTCTTGTGCAACTGTGCAAAAAAAAAGTGAACAGTAACAGACTTTCATGAAGTGAAACCTGTGTTCTACAAGTCTTCTAGATATGCTGAAAGACCTGAATTCAAAAATGAATTCACCAAACCAGGGGTGCGTTTCCTGAACAATGACGTAACTCACTGATATTTTTAAAGAAACAAACTAGCTAGTCAAACCGTGTCGCACAAAAAGCACACTGTTTAAAACGTCATTGATGACATGAAGCGAGAACTTCTGCAAATGAAACACTTCAAGATCAAAATAATGTGCGATTATTGCTGTAAATAACATAGCATCCAAAGACTGCTTTGATATTTTTGTTCTCGGTCGTCACTGCAGGTTTTATGGCATAATCTATTTAAGCCTATATTTCATATGTTGTTATATGTCAAGAGCTGCAAATGTTTGTTTAATCTATACATATTTCTAAACTATGCTTGTAAAGACTAAACTTGAGATCTTAAGAGGCTCACAATACATTTTAGAAACGCACCCCAGAAGAGTTGTGCACATATAAAATGATCATCGTCCTGATTTACGACTGAGATGTTCTACATTCTAAACCAATTACCAGAATCTACTCTGATTAAGCTGTGAACAAATCGAATTGTCGATGCAGGTTTAAGCCTGTGAAAGTTCAAAGTTTATTACAAGTTTAATAATAATAATAATAAGGGAGTAACAGTGAGTCAACCATAACTGTCTAATAGCATATTAGCTTTAATAAATCATGACATAAATGAAGCTAACAACATTTCACCTTTTCAGTTTTGCATAAATATATTTGAAGTTCAAAAGTGTTAAACAAAAGCAGCATTTGTAAACCCACACTCCCACTCCTCAGTGCAGGAAAAAAGCACCAGATGGGCTTGAATGTGGCAAGTTGTTGTTTCCGTCGCCACGTTTGGGTCAAGCTGAGAAAAGACTATTCCTCCTTCTACAATTCCCTTTCATCATGAAAACCCATGCATCAGAGAGACCACCTGGATGAACTACAACCTAAATCTTGTGCTTGAATGATGACTACACCACTGTGGTCTTCGTAATTCTAATGAGTGTCGATGATGTGCTTATGAGCCATTATTCTCCAATGCTCAAGAATCATCTGCATGAGCCGAGGAAACAGATATGTTGTTTGATACAAATACTCACCTGAACGAGGCCATCGATTCTGGCAATTTCATGTGCATTCAACTGTTCCATTTGTCATTAAAGCTCAGGAGAATGTCTGCCTCTAGCCCTAACATATCAGATGGCTCCAGGTACATTTCCATTTAATGATTGTGCTCACGTTTCTGATTGTAGCAAAACATCAACATTTTTGCTGAAAAGTATTCATGCTTCAGTACAAAAGTTCAAAGAGGAGCAGTAGACAAGATCGAGAGCCAGTCTGCCCTCAATTGAACAATAGAAAAAATGTGGGTCAGAATCACTTTGGGCTCTAAGTGTTCCCTTCAAGTATGCATTTAAGATTTCGGACAGAAATCAGCATGATAATATAATTGATTTGTGGAGGAAGACGTTACACAACATAAAAAAAATAAACATCTACAATTGTAGCTTTTTATAAAAAAAAGAAAAGAAAAAACACTGAAAACAGACCTGAGATATCCAGTACCTGAACTAAAGCAGCGGAAACAGACCAGGCTCAGACTATGAAGACGCTTATTGGGTTTTCATCATGAGTGGGAATCTGCATCACTGATAAGCTGGCCAAGGAGTCCAGCCATTTTCTGAGAAGCGCCTGTGGGCGGTTGAAGCCAGAAATAAGATGACCTATCACAGCTCTTCCACATGGTGGTGGGCGGAGTGTTTCTCAAGCTACTGACCTATTACAGAGTCCAGCCACTTTCTGTAGGCAATGGCAAAGCGGCTTTGCTCAGGGTTTCGACAGCCTGTGAGGATTCTAGAGATGAATGTGTGCTCTGAGGGAAATCCTGGCTGGAGAAGCAGAGGGCCCCGCTTCAGTCGCTTGGTGTCCTGGGTGTAGCTTCCATGTTTGCTTCCGTCCAGTACACAGTCAATGTCCATTGCCTGGGAGATGCTGTTGTTGTCACAGAGCTCTTTGCTGAGGAGGACATCGGTGTGGGTGAGAGCTGGAGATTGTGATCCTGCTCCCTGCATGTGCTCCCTCCTCCACTGGTGCCACAGGTAGAAAACATGCCGCCTGTTGGAGAAGCCTGAATTTGAGTTTGTGCAACAACCTTTACATTCTCTTTGCATTACTACATAGGTCTTACTTGTCACAGGTCTGATATGATGTTCAGAGATAAACAATGGCAACTAATAATATCAAATGCTCATCTAATAGATACAAATTTATATTTGTTTCAGAATCTATAAAAGGTGTTATATCATTAAATTTGAGATAGCTTTTGTTTTAAATGTATGAAGTTTATCTGATAATTTTTAGAATTTATTATGAAGCATGTTGGTGTGTTTTTTAATATTTTTTATCATATTGTTTTGTTTGACTTTGTTTGTATGTTGTGTCATGATGCTACTGACCTAATGTTACTGCCCCATGCAGGATTACTAAAGTTGTTAAACTTCATCTTGCTATGTTTATGTCGTATAGAAAACTGTGTGACCCCTTATTATTAATTACTTTACTCTTTGCAAATACAGAGAATCCAAACAGAAGTGTTTAAGCTTTAAAAAGCTTTCATATGCGTCAAGTATAATAAAAAGTAGTAACTAAACCCTAACTGTGACTATATTACAATTGATATTATTATAAGACTTATAGTTTCCTTCAATAAATTACTCTCCATAACATCTCTTAAAAAAGTTATTGTGCTTAATGTTACCATATGTCAAGTCTTTAAATCCCCCATCTAAGTTTCCCTTTTAAAAAGACATTTTTCTTCAATTAGACTTTATCTTCGTAACCAGTAAAACATGAAAGCGCGAACTTGGCAATCTCCACTGCTCTGTGTTTTAGTGTAAAAGACTAATTCCTAGACCTGGTCAACTAATAAAACCAAACTAAAATAAAATTAAAAAGGAAATGTGACACAGGACTAGGGTAATGCGATATCGACCAATCTGAAATCATACAATGTTTAACGTAAAACATCGGGATGGACCATGGCATTGTCGTCATAGACGGCAGTTAATTAATTATTTATGAATAAATAATTAATTACCAATTAATTATTCGTAGCCTACCACCTACAATTTTTAGTTTACATTTTAAAATAGCATTTTTTCATGCCTTTAACTCGTGTGCTGTTGGTTTATTTTCATCCATTCTGGGGTGAGTCTTAATTGGGCTACAACACTCTCTGTATTTCCGCAAATAGAATGATTTCTAATGACAAATCTTATTTTGACACATATTTTGGAAAAATGCTTTGAAAATATTTAAAAACTCAACAATACACTTTCTGTAAATTTACTACTTATTCTTTATGCAAGTGTTTGTTTTCGGCACATAAACTTCCATTATAGTGACATTTTCTAATGACACATTTAAAAAAAAAATACATTCAATACTCATTCATTATGCTGGTGGTTGTTTTTGCTACATTAACTTCCATTAAAATGACATTTTCTAATGATGCAGTTGCAAAGTCATGACACTTGCTGCTGGTTTTTCTTGTTGGGAAGAGGTAAAAATCTTGATATGTCTGAGAAAATAAGCAGCTCAGCAGTCAGAACAGTCAACACAGTAAATGTATTTATGCACAAAAACACACATTCACTATTATCAGCTGTTTTACTCCACAGAGCTCCATATAAAAGCAAGAAAGTTTTTTTGCTGAGGTCTATCAAAAGGGTTAATAATGCCAACTGATTTACCAACATGGAAAACCAGAAACAATAAAGAATGCATGATTCTATGATGCCACGACTTTGCAACCAAAAAATGGCATCAATAATGGAAATCAATAGCACAAAACAGCCAAGAACAAAACAAAAGTTAATTACTTTAATAACTTTAATAACTTAGAGATGTTTTACCTGTCTAAACCATCTCTTGTCTGCAGCCCGTGTTCTTATTATTAATAAACAGCAAAAGATAATGAAGCTGTTGTGAATAGGGCTGCACAATATATCGTTTCAGCATCGTTATCGCAATGTAATCAATCGCAATAGTCACATCGCAATTATACATAATGTTGAGTTCGGATTATTATTTATCTTATCATCAAGTGTTTTCTGAGTCCTGTGAATGTGTGATGGTTTTAAAAGCTTTAGGCATAAGAAATTGCAACGTTTGTAACTCGAATTATATAATATGAATTAATAATTCATATATTATATATGAATAATAAATTAATAATATAATTAATAATAAATTAATTTATTTTATTAAATGGTTTATAAAATGAAAACTATACAGCATTATTTTATATTTGAATCTTCAATTTCTGTATACCTGAATACAGTTTGACTACTTGGAAAACAATAAAACGCTGTGTATTTAATTTGTATTCTTTTCTTTATTGAACTTATTTGCGCTTGTTTTTTTATACTTTATACATATACACTCTCTTACAGAATCATCCAAAACAATTTAAAATTATATATTCTTTCCAAATAATTATTCAACTCATCTAGTGAAATTATATTCAATATTGCAATATATAAAAGGAGAATTAAAAAAAAATAATCGCAATGTTAGATTTTTCCAATATCGTGCAGCCCTAGTTGTAACATCAATAATGATTAACCATGTCTCTAAGTTTATATACAGTATATTAGTCAGTTTACCTGACAACTATTGTTTAAAAATCTGAAAAGCACTGTTTATTTTAGTAATATCTAATAATGTTTTCATTTGTGCTTTTGCTGTCCTGTTTTTAGTAACTTCTTAAAATATCATATACCAACCACTACCCAAACCATGATACAAACCGAACCATGAGCAATTTGTACAGTTGCACAACTAACTTACAGAATAAAAAGCATCAGTGACTAAAGCAAGAGCTTTTGCCTTATAGGTCATAATGCAGCACAAAATATTTTACACAAAAATAGTATGTCTTCTCTTTACACTACCAGCAAACCTGTAAATCAAATAGATCTGTTGAAGTGATACACTTTAAAGGGGCAAACACAAGCTAAAGATACAAAAACACCATTCATTGAGCAGCTGCTTCTTCCCTCAGCACCAAGAGACGAGGCTGGAAGGGGGAAAATCTAAAGGAGCTTGAGAAAAAGAGATCCAGCAAACTGTTTGCCTCTCCCTCCGTGAGCTACAACTCTGCAGCACAAGACTATCCATCATTTTAGTAACAGTAAGCCATAAACACATCAGGCCAGACCAGCTGAGGGCCAAGGACAGACTTCTGGCAAACAAAGTCACTGTATTCACACTGAGAGTCTGATGATGATTGATTGCATGACTACCAAGACCTGTGCTCTATCCGAAATCACCTCCTATACGATCATTCACCATACCCTACATTAGTCCACTTGAAGGATGTGATATCTTTCTTTTAAACTTCCAGGTCAGACCCTGTGCTAGTTAATTTACAACTAGCAAGCTGTCTAGTAGTAAAGAAACAATATATTTAATTTAAAAATTAAATCTTCATTCAAATTCATTCAGCATGTGAACTCTCACAGTGCTATTGAGTGTGGATGGGTTGTACACTTGCTATAGCTGTGCATAATGGGATTGATTGAAGACTGAAGACACAAATGGTGCACTTAAAACTTCAGATAAAGCCCTGGAGATGCGCTTCTGGTTTTAAAGCTCTGCTTGTTCATTCTCACCTGTGGCACCACAGCGTCTCGTGACCTGGATAAGACTCGATGAGATCGGTGCAGAGTTGGATCTCCTCATGGAAGAGCCGAGGCATGACGTCTTTGTGGTGATTGTCATCAGATGCAGTCGCCGTGTTCTCTCCGTTGGGCTGCTGGCTGGTGTGGACATCCTTCTCTGCAGCCGGGCTCAGCTCTTTGGCCAAGGCCTTGAGCAGATGCTGACGGTAGTGGAAGCCGCTGTGATCTGACACGTGCATGGACACCCAGAGGCGAGTGGAGGACAGCTCATCATGCAGAACCTGCAGTTGAATGTCACAGAGTATTAGAGCCGTCATGCTGAAGGTTGTTGCAGCTGATTTTGTGAATTTTAATTCAGCTGCCAAGTTGTAGGCCCTATGGATGTCAATATATTCAATCATTTATTCAGAAGCCTTAAATAAAATATGGACTTTCTGCAAAACATTTTGCATAATTATGCAGCATTAAAATAGGTTTAAAAAGCAGGCACTGTGAAATTAAGGAATCCACTTTTATTAGAATGATTCATGACAGAGTGGCCAAGAAGTATTTTGATAAGGAATAACAGATGAATTTCTGGTGTTAAATATATACACTACCTGCCTAAGGTTGGAATAAACTGATTTTTTTTTTTATCTATCTTCCTATGGCAGCATTTATGTGACAAAAATGCAGTAATACTGCAATGTTCAGAAATGTTATTATTACAACATAAAATATATTTTCTTATGTAATATATGTTAAAAGGTCCTTTATGTCAGTCTTTGCTAAGCCAATTTTTTTAAAAGACATTACATCAGTAATTATAAAACTGAGATAAATCAAAAATAATATACTAAATCTAAAATCTGTCATTTAACTGTATAGTGTATTTTGCCCTTTATTATAATTTGACATAGGGCTGGGCAATAAAATTGATGTCGATATTCATTTACCGAACACCATTAACAATATCGATGGTAAAAAAAAAAAAAATGTTTAAAAGGTTTGGTATGAAGTAGGGATGCACTGATACATCGATACCGATCCGATACTGATACTGAGGTTTTGTAATTTAAAACTAGCAGCAGAGCATTAACTAAATGCATATTTTCTGTGAAGCAATCCATTTAAGGTAGCCTGACATTTTTATTTGCAGGAAGAAAAAAAACATGATTTGACAAACAGCCTTTTCCGGTTCTTAAAAAGGATTCAGTCAGTGTTTTCGTTTTGTTATATAAATTTGTCATTAAAGGGAAAAGATCTAGATCAGGATTTAGTTTCTGTTTTTGTTTTACTGCTGAAATGCAGGTGCGTGAAGATGCTCTATTATGTTCTGTATGCTGTTTGCATACTAAATTAGTGTTTTAAAATGCAATATTTAATGTGTCACACAAAATAGTCACTTCATTTATTATTTTTTTTACAATATTTTAATATTAATCTGTTAACGGTTAACATTCAGTTTAAGAGCGGCGGTAGTCTGTTGGCAAATTTAACCGAAATAAGCTGTTTCTATAACTCTGGTGCTAAACTCAAATAATAGGCCTATCTTCTTCAGTAAAAAAATAACAGACCTACAGGTATACATGACAGACGGCACAATCTAACTAAAAACATGCTTGCTGTTTGAGCATTCTTTAAGCATTCATGTGATATTGTCCTTTTTAATATTAAGATTTTTTTTTTTTAATCTGCAATAGGCCATTATTGACATTGTCGGTAAAATAATCAGCTTTTTATTAAATTTATATTTTTTTTTAAATGAAAGCCTGATATTTTTCTGCAGATTTGATGCAGACTAAACTAAACCGTCTTATGCCAGTTTTACTTAATAATCCCTCTCGAAACCTCGCCGTGAGACAGAAAGTTCAAAACAAAGTCCGCTTATATGCTTCAGCATCAAAACACAAACTGATTTGCTAAATAAAATATTAATATATAAAATCACAGTGAAATATTTACAGTTTCGGAGTAGTCTATATTAGGCTAAATCATTTTCTGTTAATGCCAATCCATATTGCGCCCGTCAGTTTAACTTGTATTAATTTAATCTATTACTTTGACCACAATGGGCCAGGTTATAAAACTATTCGCAGCACTTAAAGTATTCCTCTTGGAAGAAACTCAATCTGAAGGATGGGAGAACAAACTTGTGAGAATAATCTTACGTAACGATGCACAACGTCTCTTTGCACAAAGCCGGTACGTGAATGAAAGCGATTTATGCTATGGAGACAAAGCGCGCAGCATTACGGTGTCTGCAGACATTTGCAAAACAGCAGCTCAAATGGAAGAAATAAGTGCGTTGAGGATCTGTCCAATGTATTATTGAGGCTTTTCTAATTAAACATTTCAGGTAGGCCTACTTTTTGAGTGAAGAGCAGGTAATAAACCTCTCTACTCCTCTATTGCGAATGCGATCTGATATAACAGACACAGCGCAACATGATGTAGAGACAGCAACAAAATGAACTCCTGCTGCAGGTCAAAATGAACCCATTTAATGCAAAACTAAATGCATTTCTTCACTAATTATTTAAACTAGCAGGAACAAATAGTCTTGTAAAAAGGTATTCCTGTTGTCAAATGCGACAAGCAGCTTGAATGGAGAATGAATAGAGAATGATTGACAGACGCAGCGGCAGGAAACGCTAAAGTGAACATGAATTTAACCACGTTAATATTCATCTGTACTTTACATTAAACTGTAGAATGGCTTTAGAACATTTGGGATATTGTATGCCTACATGACAACGATCTAGTGGCTTATAGTAGGCTACTTTCATGGCTTGGTTGGCTTATAAACAGAATATAGCGCACACGCAAGATCGGATTTGGATCAGTACCTGCTGACCGATACCCATTCCAGCAAAAATATGCGGTATCGAACCGATATCCGATTCAAGTATCGGTTCATGCCTAGTATGAAGCGCTATATATTTATTAAAATGTGGCGCACAACATGGAAGCAATGGCAATAAGCTTAGGTTGTCACTTTGTCATTTCTGATGGAGACACCGCACACATTTTCCAGGTTTTCCAGCCTAGTTGAAATATATCTGAACTTTCCGAATGCTACAAGTGCACTGCGATTCATGCAAGTAATCTGCTTCATACTTTTGATGAAATATTCACATTTCAGTAACGGCGGACTAATTACCTCAGACAAACACAGGGCACCCAAACTTTTCTCCATAAACTTGAGCTGCAGCAATAATTAGTTTGTTTGTCATCCTCTGAGAAAATGGTAGGCTAGTTACGAGAGACGCTATAGAAAATGGTAAAGGAAAGCACTCGCTTGCACCTTTCACTTCAGGTTAGAATAACAACACATGTGAAAATGCATGCTGTACAGTAGCATTGAGGAGGTTTTCAATAAAAAAGGATGTACCCAGAGTGGCTTTTTGGTTTATTTTCTTGTGCATCACAGCCACTAGCTCCCCATCTGAAAGAATTTTTAGCTTGGGGGTAATATAATCATTCAATTTCACAACTTGTAATGTTCAGCATGTTTTTGAATAATGATGGTTAGTTCCTTTACTTGAAAGATCAGATTTGATTATCATAATTTGTTTTGTTTACAGAATTGAGATTTACTGTATCATTATTATTGACACCTTACAGATGTTGATTTACCTTAAAGTTTGCTTTGATTGTTCAGCGCTTACGCTTTACCATTGCACAGACTTTGTAACATTTAATTTATTTACTTTAAGAGTCTCTTTAACACTTATGTTTATTTTTTTTCATAAAGAAATGAGATATGTTGTTTGTATATTTTTGTTTTTATTCATAATGCTGGTAAATTAAAATAAAGTGGTTAAATAAAAAATCCTAATATTCCTAAATGTATTGTTAAAAAATATTCAATAATTATTATCGATATTGAATGATATAAAACATGATATTGTTATTATCTTTTTTGCAATATCACCCAGCCCTAATTGGACAGCATGTTCAGTAAAGTGGAAATGATTTAATCTGAGTGAACTTACATCAACCAAAACTTTGAAACAATTTGTTTAGATTTATGGCCTAAATTCTCCCAGCTTTAGAATATTTAGCACAATTTCATAACAAAAAAATCTAGATTTCTTTAACTTTTAACTCTTAACCGGCTTAATTTTATATTTTGACTTCTGAAGCCAAACTTCAGCATGTGTTCCAAACCATTCAGGAAGACTTTTCAAAAACAAGTTCATTATCAGATGTATGCTCAATAAGTGTTTAACTGCTCATTAATGTATTACAATCATTCATTACCACAACATATTATGTAAAGCAGCTCAATTCTTAAACAAATAGAACACATATATTAATTTCTGTTTTAATTGAACTAGAAATACACTAGCATTTTACCACAACTCCCTGCCTGACGTGCAAATTTTTTGTGGATTTTTCATTTTCTTTTCTTCATCTATCTTAAGCTGCTTTGACACGATCTACATTGTAAGAGCACTATAGAATTAAAAACAACTTGATTTTTAACTGCCATGAACTGCAAAAATAATATAATGTAATGTATTTTTAATTTAATGCTATGTCAGCAACCAAGGTAAAATTTCATGGCAAGAACATTTCAACAATATATACAACTAAATATGCAATTAAAAACAACAAACAAATGAATACAAAAATAAGTAAGATTTTTAGTGCTAATAATACATGATACAAATTCAAATATTTTTCCTGGTGTCACTTTGTTAAAAATGTCCTTAAGAGAGTTCAAAAAAAGCATTCTGGAATCATTAAAAACAGGACAGTCTAGTAAAATGTGTTTTACAGTAAGAGGAGTTGTGCAGTACAAACATTGAGTGGGGTCTTAACCTTTGAGCAAAAAGCCATGCGTTAATAATTTATGTCCAACACAACATCTAGTAAAAATCACCTGATCAAATCTAGATTTAAAATGTATTAAAACTCTGAGTTTTTCAGGTTGTCATTCATTTTTCTTTTCGGCTTAGTCCCTTCATTAATCCGGGGTCACCACAGCGGAATGAACTTCCAACTTATCCAGCACATTTTTACGCAGCAGGGGCCCTTTCAGCCGCAACTCATCTCTGGGAAACATCCATACACACTCATTCACACTCACACACAATTTAGTCCACCCAATTCACCTGTACCGCATGTCTTTGGACTGTGGGGGAAACCGGAGCACCCGGAGGAAACCCACTCGAACACAGGGAGAACATGAATACTCCACACAGAAACGCCAACTGACCCAGCCGAGGCTCGAACCAGTGACTTTCTTGCTGTGAGGCGACAACACTACCTACAGCGCCACTGCGTCACCATTTTAGGAATTATTATTTTATACAATTTATTATTTTCCAATGCATCCCACTCCTCTTGCCACTTATTTAAAATGTAAACATTAATAAATTGTCTCATCTCTGAAGGAGAAGTTTGGCATTTGTTCACCACTTGTTTGAATGCGTCCTTAGCAGCTGCATCAAAACTGACTTTGTAGATAATAAACTTTGGTTAAAATACTTTCACTAAAAAGTATTTCACTTTCACTCGTTTTTAGTAGATACCATCACTAGGATGATCAAAAATAATGCAAAAATGTAATGCAAACATCAGAGAAAGCTTTTAAACATAACAAATATTTCAAAACATTATGACTTTAGCTAGGTACTATGCAGTTCTACAGAGCTCTAGATTGCAAATTCAGACTGACAAAAACAGTAGACATGCAGAGTAGACAAACAAGGCATGCAGGAATGCAAGTTGACAGCCGCATAACCCAATTACTCCTGAAATAGCTTATGAACAGCCAACACTGCAAATTTTAGATAGTAGATTTAACTACCTTGGAGTTAAAATTAACACTCCCTCAGAGTTTATATGGGAACCACTATAAGTGTTAAAAATAACACTTTTGAAAGTGTTAACATTGTCAACACCAAGAGAGTGTTAATTAACAAACTCTTATTGTGTAAAATATCTGTTAAATTTCCGAAAAAATACCAGCAGCTGTGGTTGCCAGAATCTTTCTGTGAAAAACATGGAAGTTTTATATAACTGTATAAATTTACAAAAAATAACCATATTTCATGAACTAATACATTGTTCATTTTACAAAATTATAGCTTAGTGCACAAAAATTTAAAGTCTTTAGATGCAATAATGTTTGCATGTGTGATTGCAATTAACAAACAGATTTTGACTGCATTAGTAACTACACAGTTACCTTTAAACAAAAGAAGATGCAGCATAACATCAAATATTTTCAGTTCATCTTGGACTTGAACAGAGACGCTATTATCCTCCACAATGGTGACACAAAAATCGTTTTGCTGTTTTTCTTTTCTTTTTTTTCATTTTTAGATTTTACGGAAAAATACCAGCAGCTGTGGTTGCCAGTAATCTGCTGTTTTTAACATTCATAAATTCAGTTTACAGAATATTTCTGTTAAAAGCACATTCAACAGTCTGTATTTTTTATCGAACTCAAACTGCAAATTTTAGATTTGGTAGATTTAACAACCTTAGAGTTAAAATTAACACTCCCTCAGTGTTTATATGGGAACCACTATAAGTGTTAAAATAACACTTTTGAAAGTGTTAAAATTTTTAACACCCAGAGTGTTAATTAGCAAACTCTTATTGTGTAAAATATCTGTTAAATGTATGTCAAAATTCTGGCAGCAGTGGTTGCCAGTAATCTGCCGTTTTCAACATTTTACATTAGTAAATACATTCGTTTCCAGAATATTTCTGTTAAAAATACATCCCATAGTCTGTATTTTTTATTCAAACACACTTAAGCCTTAAATTCCAGAGCAAAATCCTCACTAGTGTCCTCACTACAGAGGGCTGAACACTCAGACAGTGATGAAGTTAATGAGACAATTAAGTGTCTAATTAAAGGATGATTGAGAATTATTGATGAACAACTGTTAACAAGCAGAATCACTGAAGGAAAGAAAAACACAAGCCAAAACCAAAGATGAAATCAACTGAGAAAAAAAAAACTCTAAATAAAATAATAATCAATAAAAATAAAACAAATTACACAATGAAAAAAAAATATTTTTCAACATCTTTAACACAACTCATCAAATTAAACAACACATCATGGAGCTTCACCTATTACTGACCTTTGACTTTATTTCTGTCATGTGAACAAAAGCTCTTAATGAAATTTCTGTTGTTCATTTGAAGTCACCATGATGGAGGACAGAGTCTACTTTAGTCAGGCTCTTCAACTTCTTACTATAAGATGTCTTTTATTGTGGCTGCTATAGTTAATCACACTATTTACACGTATAGCATTGAAAGCCAAAAGAAAATAAAAGTGTCAGTCAGAAGAGATTATATATGTTATCATAGCCATTCTTTCCTGCTTGGTTTTTAATTCAGTATCATATTAGTTATGTGTGAGAAATAATTAATATACATAAATGAAATCACTGAAGCTTCAACAATTAATGACTTTATAACAGGTTTAAAAACACCATTTAAAACGAGAATGTTTGATCTATGGCACAACTTCAAAACACACAGACATCAATAATTAGTCGTTGAATCTCAATAATGGTGACAAACAAAAAAATAAAAATCAAGTTAAAAAAAAACACTCTACTGAAACATTACCTCCCAAAAACAACACAAAATAAAGGAAAAGAAAGAGATTGTAAGAACATAAAGCTGCATAATTTATTCATGCTGCAATGCATGCTGGGAGCTTTGAACTATGCTGGCACCCAGCATGCATTGCGGCATGAACTATGCAGCTTTTTTTTTCAGCAACCACGGTTGAGGTTCATATCCTAATTCTTGATGCCTGTAAGTCATATGAGCAAGCTGGAGCTTGAATGTTTAGTGCATGACACTTTAATTATAAATTGCATCCTAATTTTTTGATTGAATTTTCTATGAAGAGCAGCAGACTGCCAGAAGTATTGTCCCATGCAGTTTTAATACAACTATATTTGCATATTTTTATCAATCAACTTAATAAACACCTGATATTATATCTATAACAATTAAGCATAAACTGTATGGTTTCTCATGACATCTCTTGCTATAGCTAATATGTTTTAGAAACACAGCTATAACAGTCAGAGAAACATTTAGATAGAAGAGTAAAGCTTCAAGAGCTCAAATAAGCAGCCTCTGATCTCTATGATGGTGAGGTCAAATGAAATATTTTTAATAAATAAATATAAAACTCTGTTCATTGTCAAATATACTTACAGAAATGAAGTCAAACTTTAATCAGTGAAGCTGCTTATACTATTATTTAATGGAGTTGTTTAATCCTCTGTTTTAATTCAGTTGGTTTGGTGTGAGGCTGTGTCTGTAGTTTTATTTCTTCCTTCAATTTCTTATTCCTTCAGTGATTGTGCTTGTTAACCAGCAGGTGTTCAACAGCAGGTGTCTAAATTCACTTATTTGTGGTCATTCCCTCTGTCTAGTGGACTAAACTAATTGACCAATTTAAGGGCCAGGTGAATGAGGGTGTGGCGAGATTTCAGACACTCTGATTAGTTTCTCAAATACAAGGGTTTTCTACAAAGGTAGATACATGTTACTCTGTGTGACAAGGAGGCAAATCAGCTTCTAACGCCGATCTAACTCTAGAATTTTAACACTTTACTCTGAATTACCTCAACACTTGAAATTTAACACCAATGAATTTGCTGTGAAGACTGATTCAAGTCTTTTTAGCCCTGGATCATTAAATATCTACAGGCTCATCCTTTTTATATGAGAGCCTTTAGCTTGAATTGAGCCCTGTAACATTTGCCTAATTTCGCATCCAATTAAGAAAGGATAAGCACACATCAAAGGTCTGGCACTTACTTGACCCCCTTAAAGCCAATAAGCTCTCCTGACTAACAGCACTCGGCTCTCTCACTCCTAAGTAAATAAATAAATAAAAAAGCTAAATGGACAGAAAAGTGTGACGTCTGTAATCAGGTCTCTTATGTTTATCAGGTGGAAAAGAAAGGTATCAAGATCATCAAAGGCTCCGTAGACTTATCAACCTCATAAATAACCATGTCATGTTGCTTTCCTTGTAACAATACTGATTATGCGCCAATGTGATCCATCATTCCTTTAAAGTAATCCGAAACAAATCTAATCTTTGAGATTTACACAAAACAAAATGACATCTTACAGTCACACGCTTTACATCATTAAGAGAAATGACAAAAATGCAGTGCAGTACACTGAGACGGCCTACCTTCAGATTGCCTTTAGCCATGTTTTGCAATACCCAGATCCGATGGGACCAGGCATTGTAGTTGCTGGGGTATCGGCCAGCTGCTTCTGCACAGACTCTCATCTCCTCCTGCAAGGCCCTCTGCAGCCGCTCGCACTGCCTCCTGCTCTCAGCCGAATCCTTCAGCTCCTGTCCTGAGGGAGAGCATTCCTTCTGCAGCCTCTGCAACACCCAGCGCCTGTGCGATTTACACAATTTTTTTGTTAAGACATGTGCATGGCTGCATGAACAATGCAGGACATCCAGCATCCCTTCTTGTTCCTTGGTATAAACATGCTTTCTTTTGAGCTTGGTTCAGCCACTGATACAGCTGCACTCCAATAAATACACACAATGCAGAACATATGACAGCAGAAATGCTAATTATTGCATACCGTACTACGCAGCAGCACCGCTCATTAAAGATTATAGTGATAATTATCGATTATATATTGATTCAACAGTATTTACAGCACAGAATTGGTACCATGTCATATTCAGACCTTATCCAAATCGACAGGGTGATGAGTAAAAATCTGAATATATGTACTGATTTGCAAATTAAGTTATATATACAAATTATTTATTGGTCTTGTCAGCAGCACAAGCTTGAGTATAAATTAGCTTTCCAGGATATTCTAAAGAGATTTGCCCTTGTCCTTGCAGTAGTGATGAAATTCTGCTTCAGTCGGTGCCATTGTTGACATGTTGCAAGAGGTCTGCAACTGCAGAGAGTTTCATTTCATGGTGGCCTGGCCACTGCTTTCACCATTTCAAGTTCTCTTTCTACTAATACTAATTCAGCTAGTTGAAAGCACAGCGCACAGTTTCTGCTACAGTGCCTGCAGCTATTCCATTATTAATTTCATAATGCCCAATTTATTATTAGTTTTTCACATAAATTTTTCAAGATTCTGACTTACCTAAATCTAAGAGTGAAGTAAAATAAGTACTCTTAAAATAGGACACTTGACATGCACAAAATGCATCACATCAGTGTCATATTTTATATTTGGAAATATCTCATTTAACTACATCCTGCAATGTCTGCTTATGCATGAAAATTCATTTTTACTCATAAATTCTTGTTATGTTGTGGATGTATTAGCTAGTGTTCACATTTCTGCCATTAACTTAATCAAAATAAATAAAAAGCAAATAAATAAAACAAATTAGATTTGCCCAAACTGTGTATTAGGAAGGAGAAAAATACCTGACGAACCAAAAGCTTTACCCACAGTATATTACATTGTGATTTTCATTTGCTGATGTTCTTTATTGTCCCCATTCAACAAAAGCAAAAAAAATAAAAAAATGCTAAAACAAAAATTTATATTAAAACCAAAAGAAAGCTTACTTATTTTAAATTAGATTTCACTGGCTGGATAAAACATCATCTTTTTGCTTAAGCAATGACATTTGTGACCACTAATTAACATTCTCTAACCTGTGTATCCATGTCTCTGGGCTTTTAGGATGTTTAGATAGTGCGAGCTTGCCCAGGTAAAGGTCCTTTTCTGGGTTTAACACACCACACTGCAAGAGTTCCTTCCTAGAAAACATACAGTTTCATCAATTCCCAGATGAATGCAAAAATTCTGTAAATATCAAAACCTTAAAAAAAGGAAAAATTACAGCACTATCTTCTGGACAATATGCTTTTTCATGCATATTATCAAACATTCCATTTAGGCAGTTCCTGAGGCAGATTTAACATTAAGTGACAAGACATCAAATGCACAGTAGCCATTTGCACATGCCATTTCCAATGGCACATCCGTTTTTCATTGGCATGTGTCAGGGTGTAGTGACATGTGCCACCAAAACTTATGACGTCAATGACTGTGTTTTGGTACATGTTGCTACGTGGCTCCTGCATTACTGTAGAAATTGTTTAAATTAGATTGTGAACAAACACACAATACCATTCTTAATCAAAATTACAAATCTAAAGGTTCATCAATATGTCTATTTTAGCATAGTTAAAAAAAAACACCTGCTAGATATATATAAAAAATTAAAAGTCTGATGATTTTATTCACTTATTGTATATGTGGGCTTTTAAGGACATAGACATTTCATTAAGTTTATCAGCCACAGTCCAATAGAGGGTCCATTTATTTTTTAGTCTTCCTTGTATTTGGCACAAATCGAGCATGTTTCTATCTTTATTGGACAAAGAGCATCTGTCTTTATACATACTCAATACACATGCGGGCCATAATTGGAGCTCATTTTTCAGCTCCTCGCATTCTTACACACAATGTAAAAATGTATCTTGAAGCTTATTGCATTTAAAACATAGATCAGGGGATTTAAAGTTAAATGTGTTGTACAGGGTTAACAAAATGTCATTATACAATTATACTGTAGAAGTCTCATCCGAGAGATCAACGTTTGTGTACTTGAATTAACTGTATGTTAGTCATCTAATGAAATTTCAAAATGTAAATGTTGGATCAGTGCTAGTCTGTTATTTTTCTTTTTCCTTGCCATGTTATTTTCACCATTGACCACGAAGGGAGTAGCAAATAATTCTTTAAATGTGAAAAATAAAGCATTTGCAAGAAGATACTTATTATTTGTGTTTGGGGTATGTGAAATTTTGCTACAAGATCTTCAAATTACATAATAAAATATCTTTATACAATCTAACCATACTCTTATTCATCCATAATTTAAACCCCATATCATTTTAGCTAAAATTAAAAAAGCTGGAAAGCACTTAAAAGTGTCCTAGATTCCAAAGGTCGTCGTACTAGACATACGTTTTTTTCTATCTTTTACAAATGTATTATTACGGCCAACTTTTTAACATGTAATCAAGCCATGGATGCTTCACTAGAGAACTAAAACAATGCAGCTCTTAAATGAAAAGCCCAATAATAATAAACGAAATTTGGTAGTTGAAGCCCTCCCATATTTTTAAGAAATAATAATGCAAGCCTTAGCTTCTTGTTTTTCCAAATAAAAAGAGAAAGAAACCTTATTCTTAGAAATATTATACTGGAGAGGTATTGACTGAAAAAAACTAATTAAAATTTTGTTTACATCCAAGTCAAGATTATTTTTCCTGACTATTTAATGTTTATCATTCATTGCACTAAAGATACTAATTTTAAAGATTATTATAATTCTTAGATAATCAAAACCATTTATAGCATTTATGTATGGGTGAATAACATTGGGATTTAATCTCTCTTGTTCAATGAAAAACAGAATTAAATATTTATTTTTATCTCCTTTCAATTAAGATAAACTGCCAAACAGGCCATTAAAGGGTCACAAAACACCAAAACATATTTTTTTAGCTGTCGACAGTCGTATACGTGTCCCCAACTGCTAAAAACATTATTAGTACACATATTTTTCAATAAAAATTTTGCGTTATTTCGAGCAAATTGGTACTTCCGGTTTGAAACAAATTTTTGAAGCTGCGTCACGGCCATGAGATCTTAGCGTGTATTCCAGCATGTAGACTGGACGTCTGTACCTGGGAGTACCTAACTATGTCTCTGAGTGTGCTGCATTCATTCATGAGTAAGACAAACCAAACCAATCAGCGCGCTCTATTGTGTATACGGTGCAACTTTATTAATATGCAGGATAGCTCTGAAGACTGTTTGTACCTGAAACAGTGTTCAGACGGCAGAGAGACGATACGTTGTGTTGCCAAAAAAAGTGGGAAAAGAAGAAGAATTGTTTGGATATGGGTCATCAGTGTTACTTTTATAATGTGCTGCAACGAAGGTTTTGTTTTAATTTTCCAACTATGAGAGTGCAACTGGACTAACGTGTGGATCAGTGCATGCGACTCGTGGCAGAAATACGTTTGTATGGAACATTTTTTACTCGCGAGCTTTTCACATCTGGAAATTATGAAACCCGGATTTGCTGCTCGTCTCTTTTAAAAAAAGATGCGGCTCCAGTCGGTGTTGATTGTCCTGTTTCTACAGATTTGGTAAATTTGTGCGTTAAGTGCCCTTTCTTAGTTTATTCAGATGGCAAAGTTATAGTTTGTATCGTCAGCAGTACTCTTTCAGTGTTTAAAGACTCATTTAAAATGATTTTTAAGTTCCATAGTTTATGTTAATATCACTACAATATTATGGACTGAAAGATCTGCTGTAAATGCTGCTCTCTGAGTGTAAACGTGAACACTGCAAGCAAACCATTACCGAAAGTCATGTTTAATTTTCGCCACATTTTGTGACAGGAATAGTCTACACACACACATGGCTTTCTGACCTACAGAGTGCAGAGAATCTGAGTTACCAAGAAATGCAGAGGTTTTTTTCCTGTTATACGACGTGCGACATCAAACATTCCACCGTCATTGAACACAGTTGCTGTATTTCTCCCTTGGTTGCATGTTTGTTTTGCCTCAGTAAAAATCAGTGCATGCCCAAATGGAAACTCCAATTTTATTCATTTTATTTCATTTCCCCTTTTCCCTCCCCCGACACTCCTACTTAAACAGAACTAGACACACCCACTTTCCTGACTTTTTCCAAACTAGAGGTGTGAAAACACCCTGCTGAAACGGGGGGGGGGGGGGGGGGGTTATGGCCCTTTAAGTTTAAGGATGGGATTGATTTTCCAAGTTCTAATAGAAATACAATGACATCATTAGTGCAAAGGGAAATACAGTGTTTTAAAGCTCCTATAAAAAATTAAAAAATAACAAATTTTAATAAACCCATTTGATCAACATGTATCAACTGAGGTCAAACCTCTTAAGCCTCATAGACAATGCATCAGCAATAATTTTGAACTCTGCATTTAAAAGTGAGATGGGCTTAAATAAGGGGTGCCCAAAACAGGTCCGGTGTCCTGCAGTCTAGTTCCAACCTCAATTAGACACACCTGAACAAGCTAATCCAGCTCTTTCTAGGTATACTAGAAATTTCCAAGCAGGTGTGTTGAAGGAAACTGAATCTAAACTAAGCATGACACCGGCCCTCCAGGACCGAGTTTGGGCACTTTAAAGATAACATTTCCTGCTTTAAAATAAAGGGGTGATAAGGGAGATTAAAATTTCTCTTTGATTTCCATGTAAATATTAATTGGAAACCCATCAGAGCCACAGCTTTACCACACCTCATATGAAGATTAGCATTAAAAAATATCTTCCAATTCCAGTTCTTTATCAAGCTCAGATCTTGTTTCTTCAGTGACAGAGCCAATTCATCAATTAAGCTATTCTGATTAGTGGGGCTTATAGGAAATTCAGAATGATTAAGCTGTTTTTTAAATCATAATCGCAATAGTGGATCTTCGTAGTAATTTCTTTAGCTGCCAAGCAAACAAAATGTGTTGTTGTTTTTTTTTGCCCTGATCACTGTTTGCTGCAATCTTAACTCTTGTGTGTGGTTGACAATGTTCTCATCCAATGTGGGGTGATTGTGATTCTTGATTTGGCCACAACGTTCTGTGCTTTAGCAAATGGAATGATTTTTGGTGACAAATGCTATTTAGCAAATGCTGAAAGTTTTCAAAAACTCAACACACTCTGGCTTTTTTTTGCCCAATTAACATCCATTAAAATGACTATAGGTCGCGAAGCCATGACACCGTATTATGTATTCTTGATAGTTGGTGGTTTTTCCTGTTGGGAAGAGGTACAATTTGCCATTTTTGCTGTTGATCAGTTGCTTAGTTTTTGGCTTTTTTGGAGTTATATGGATAAAAGTGTGCGTAACCTTTGTGTACTTACCTTGATTTTCAAGAAATTCAAAATAAGCAGCTTAGCTCTCAGAACATAGTAAACATAGTTAGTGTATTTATGCACACACAAAATAATTTGTCAAGGCAGCATGAGGGTTCAGTGGTTCTGTCGCCTCACAGCAAGAAGGTCACTGGTTCGAGTCCTGGCTGGGCCAGTTAGCATTTGCGTGTGGAGTTTGCATGTTATCCCAGTGTTCAAGTGGGTCTCTTCCAGGTGCTTCGGTTTCCCCCACAGTCCAAAGACAAAGGTTCAGTAAGTTCAGCAAGTAAAAATTGGCCCTAAAGTGTGAATGCAAGAGTCTATTGGTTTTTCTCAGAGCTGGGTTGCGGCTTGCAGGGCATCCACTGCGTGAAATGTATGTTGGAATAGTTAGCGGTTTATTCCACTAAGGTAACCCCCAATAAAATAAAGGACTAAGCCACAAAAAAAAAATTAATAAATGAATAAATATAAATTAAATCTTTGTTATACTCCATAGAACTCCATATAAAAGTCAAAAGCTTCTTTGCACAGACTTATCTAAAGGGTTAAAAGTGCCATTTGACTATCAACAGTAAAGAAGTACAAATGTCACGTATTCTTAACAGGGAAATACACCAACAATCAAGAACGCCTGATTATTTGGTGTCAAGCCTTTGCAATAAAAAATGTCATTGTAATGAAAGTCAATGGGACAATAACATCCATTAGCATAATGAAAGGGAAGTAAATTGGAACAATACACAAGGGTTAATATACTCTTTTCAACTTATAACAGGGGTGAACTCACTGGCTTTGAATGTTTGGAATAGACCTTTTAAAAGTCTATAGTATTGCAAAATTTAGAAATGCAGGCACCCCGTTTAAAAAACCTTTAAATAAACATTGAAGCACTGTATATGTTGTACAAACTCCACAATGCAATAAATCACATGTCTGACAGGAACTTATTGTTAACTAAACCTACATTATGCACTAACAGAAAACATTAGTCAACAAAGTGCCATAAACTGCGACAAGGTCAGTGACACAGTACACAATTTTTGGCATGTTACAAGTTTTAGTGGCACATGCCAGTAGTATCCACTGACACCTGCCAATAAAAAAAGTCACAAAGATAAATAAAAATACAAATAAAATCACTTAGAAGCTCAGTGCAAGTTGTGATTGGCAGCAGCATATTGTTGACTAAATATCTTTCTTTGTGTGTGTGTGTGTTCAAAGTCTACATTATGCTTCGGTGCATGTCAGTCACTACTGGAGGATAAACCAAAATACAGTCAGTGAATGCATCGCCAAATCACAAGTTTTGATGACATGTCATTATAAACTAACACGTCAATAAAAACTGCCACCAAGCACAGTGGCATGTGTTAATGACTTCTGTGCACTAGGGTTTGGCGATGTCGACCAATTTGGAATCATAGGATGTTTAATATAAAACATTGCAATGGACGATGGCATCGTCATCATAGGCGGTGATGAAATAATTATGGATAATTAATTAATTCATAACAAATTAATCATTTATAGCCTACCATTTTAACTACCTGACCCGCATGGTCTGTTTTTACCCATAACCAAATCATAAATGAATAAAGATAAGTTACACACATAATTAAATAAGCGAATTTGCAACGGGGGCAGGGCGGAGTATTGCGATCCCGACTCAGCATTGTGGTGTCTGTCGGCCATCGGTGATGGCATCGTCTATCGGTCCAACCCTACTTTGCACCAGAAGTTTTTTCACTTCAAGTTAAAATTTGTTAACAAAAAAACAAGATCTAATACCACAAACATATTTACGCTTATAAAATACTTAAAAAGTACTGAATAATAAGTATGAATATATCTGAATCAAATAAGCAAAACAAAGTGATTACAAATAACATTTTACCTTATCCATCAAATTTAAATAGTTAATTTCAAATAAGTTAATTTAAATAAAAGGAAATGTGTGAATAAACATATTGTAAAACTAATTATAATATATATATATTTTATATACTTTTTTTATAGTACACTGCTCAAAAAAATCTGAATGAATGGGATATTCTTATTGAATTTCTTTCTTCTTTACATAGTTGAATGTGCTGACAACAAAATCACACAAAAATTATCAATGGAAATCAAATGTATTATGCCATGGAGGTCTAGATTTGGAGTCACACTTAAAATTGAAGAGGAAAAACTTTACAGGCTGATCAAACTTTGATCTAGTGTCCTTAAAACAAGTCAAAATGAGGCTCAGTAGTGTGTGTGGCCTCCACATGTCTGTATGACCTTCTTACAATGCCTGGGCATGCTCGTGATGAGGTGGCTGATGATCTCCTGAGCAACCTCCTCCTAGACCTGGACTAAAGTATTCGCCAACTCCTGGACAGTCTGGTGCAACGTAGCATTGGAGGATGGAGCGAGACATGATGTCCCAAATGTGCTTAGTTGAATTTATATCTGGTTAACGGACGGGTCAGTCTATGGCATCAATGCCTTTATCTTGCAGAAACTGCTGATACGGTCTAGTCGCATGAGATCTAGCAATAAGAGGAACCTTGGGCCAACAGCACCAGTGTATGGTATCACAAGGGCTCTAGAGATCTCATCTCAGTACCTAATGACAGTCAGGCTCCCTCTGGCGAGCACATGGAGTGCTGTGCAGACCCTCCAAATAAATGCAACTCCAGACCTTTACTGACCCGCTGCCAAACCGGTCATGCTGAAGAATGTTGCAGGCAACATTCTCCATGGCGTCTCAAGACTCTGTTACGACTGTCACATGTACTCAGTATGAACCTGCTTTCACCTGGAGAACACAGGGAGCCAGTGGAAAATTTGCCAATTTTGTTTCTTCACGACCTGTGGATGTCGGGTCCTCATACTACCCTCATGGAGTCTGTTTCTGATCGTTTTAGGTGAAATGTGTTAGACGCACATTTGTGGCCTGCTTAAGGTCATTTTGCAGGGTCCTGGCAGTGCTCCTTCTGTTCTTCTTTGCACAAAGGCAGAGGTAGCAGTCCTGCTGCTGAGTTGTTTGCTCTCCTACAGCCTCTTCCACATCTCCTGAAGTACTGGCCTGTCTCCTGGTAGCACATCCATGCTCTGAACACTACACTGACAAACAAAGCAAACCTTCTTGCCACAGCTCGCATTGATGTGCCATCCTGGATGAACTCCACTACCTGAGCCACTTGTGTGGGTTGTAGAGTTTGTCTCATGCTACTAGAGTGAAAGCACCACCAGCATTCAAAAATGACTAGAACATCAGGTAATAAGCAAAAAAAACTGAAAAGTAGTCTGTGGTCATCAACTGCAGAACCAGTCTTATATTAAGGGTGTCTTGCCAATTGCCTATAATTTCCATTTGTTGTCTATTCCATTTGCACAAACTGATTATCAATTAGCATTGCTTCCTAAGTGGGCAGTTTGATTAAACAGAAGTGTGGTTGACCTGGAGTTACATTGAGTTGTTTAAGTGTTCCCTTTATTTTGAGCAGTATATAAACTATGTCCTTGTACAAAAAGCTAAACAGATGCATTTTTTTTTATCTTAGAATTTAGGTTTCTTGTATGAAGATGATTACAGTTTGTGGTAGATGTAAAAAAAATAGAAATGTCTGGCTAACAGTTTACTGCATGCAGGTAAATTTGATAAAAAAAAAACTAATATTCCTTATGTAAAATTATGAAAATAAAGTAGCATTAGCAGAATAGTATCCTTTTTGGTTTTCCTTTTTCTAAAATTAGACAATACATCTAATAAAAGCACCAACAAGAAAGATAGAGTGATGAAATGCTGACATAAAAGAAAGAAAGAAGGAGAATTTCTAAAAATACCATAGATGTGCATGCATTAGAAAGCACATGTAGATATAATGGACAATGTGTTTCCTCTAGGATTTTTTCCAGCTGTGGCGGCAGGCCTTTTTTTTTTACAGGTATACCAAATACCAGTGATGTTTTTTTCAATGACAAATGTCGTGAGTGCAGTATTACAGGTCGAGATTGCATTTATGTAATAGCCTACAGCATGCAGATCTCTTTGCTTGCGCGCCGATTTCCTCTGCTCGTGCACAAAACCTCTTGTGCGATCTCAAATAAACGCTGCTGTGGTGCGATTGAGTGTGTTTATGTAACGAGTATGTCTCCAGCATTTATTAGATTTGCTACGAATATTTATGAATGTCTCTAATAGACCTACAGAGCGATATTAATGCGTTCTCAAGTAAAATGAAATGGCTATACGTCGTGTTTGCTGGCCTCACCATGCACCTGTCAGTCAGTCAGTCAGTCAGTCTGTCTGTCAACACGTAACCTTAACGGGGTAAACAAATAATGCACAGCATTACTACGGTTACAGAGAAGTTTGCACTCTTATAAATCAGTCATCTTTTAATACGTGTTGATGCGATTATTACCCGCTATTAAAAAAATTTAATGTTTTGAATGAGAAGCTGTACTGTAGCCGTGGCGGGATGAATTTTGTCATGACGCCCCACCATGGAAGAATGAATGTAGAGGAAACCATGGAACTGTACCTGACATTCCACGCAGTGGTAAAATCTGGATTCAACAGAAGCAATGTGCTGGTTATATCCACCAGAGCTTGAAAAGAAGAAGAAAGAAATATCAGGGATTTTTTTTTCTCCAATGATGCAAAGTATTTAATAAAATACCATACTAATAAATGCTATACCATGCAAGGTGTTCAAAAAAGCAAGCTAACCCAATAATCTTTCATCCTACCTTCCCGGTCGAGCCACTGCTTTCTCTGCCTGTAGAGCAGGAGTTTATTATGCACATAAGGCAGCAGAAACTTGACACACCAGCTCTCCACTCCCAGCTTATTCTCCACCAGGACGATGGGGCTTCTGTTGTACCGGGCTTCAGGACACGGAATGAGGCCAATTTCATCACTGTGAATTCAAGATAAAAAGATGCTGGCTATTTTTGGATATACTAAATACTAAGGAGCTGATGGCAAACAGGGATGCATAACATCTCAGCTGACACATAGTCGCTTTAGATGCACCTCTCTGGCATAAATACAAGGGTGCCATAAGAGAAGGAAGTAATTAAACCATTGGCACAAGACACTGACCTTTTAATATGAAACAAACAGACAAAACGAAGACAAAATTAACAACTACAATTGAAAACAGAACATCCTAAAAAATTTTTTGTAGTGGACTAGAAACATGCCAGACAGTATGGATTAACATTTGAAATAATCTACTATGAAAATGTGTGTATAGAATTGTGGAGTCTGAATCAAAAGTCAGATCTTTAAAAGTCATACATGAACACTTGCATTAAATCAGGTACCTTTGAAAGTGTTCACATTTATGCTAAAAAAGTGAAGTTGTCAAAATAAACAAATAAACAACACATGCTTAGCTTCATTACAAAACCTAAATTATGTGGTAAATGATTTTATGAAAACTATATTTCGTATTTGCTCATATACCTTTCATTTCAAAAGCAAAAGGGCATATCTAATCTAAAACAAGAATAAAATTTTCTTAATTTCATTTTTAATTTGTGCGGCAAATCAGAAGTCATAACTGGACAGCTCTGATATGAGAAATAAAATTGGTGGTTACATTAATATCCACAAACCTGTGTATCAGTTTCCCGATAATGCTCGTTGTAACGTTAGATGTTGACTTAAGTGATTTGTCTGGGTACATTAAGATGCAAGATGTTGCAACAACATATTAAATCACTCCATATAACGTCACCAGTACGTAAACATGGACAATTCTTGAGATTATGCAAATAAATATATAAGGTGAACGATTATCTAATTACTAACTTAACCAGAGAATAACACTGACAGTACTAGCTACAGCATGACAAACATGCACATACTTTGACGTTTCGGTGAGAAAAACTTTTGGCGTTCGCACGGAGATGTTAAACAACACAAGTTTCTCCAGGCACGGTGTAAATGCAGTGCTGAAGAGCTCTGGTCTACAGTCTGCTGCTGGCCTGCGCCAAGCGCCAGCGGGTTAGAGCTGGTTAATAGCCAGTTAGCCAGAGCCAATGCCTGCGCAAGTTACAGACAGACGGCTGCTGCTCTATGTTCTCCCGGCGACTTACAGCGAGGGTCTGGACGAGCTGTTTAGACTAAACTAGAACACTGCGCAATGAATAACAATGCGAGTTCATATACGTACATGTTCGGGTTTCTTTTAAAGGCGTTAGTGATATCTTTCACAACTCTCTGGACCAAGACATCCACCTCCTCTTCCGACTCAGCCATTTTCAGAGCTCGAGTGACGTCAGCGCGGGTGACTCAACCTCATCCGGGACATTTCACAGTAACCGTACCATAACCTGACCATAACGCGTTTAAGGGAAAATACAGGATTTCAACAAAAAAAATCAAATCGCTTCAAATGTGAAAACCATGTTGGACAGCGTTAATACAAGATATTAGTTGGATAATCTCCTATATAAATATGCAATCCTAAACAAAGCAAAGGAAATCAATTTGAAAATTTTAATAACACGTTAACCGGTCAATGCATTTACCTCAAATATTTACTGATATTGCAGATACTTGTTCTTTCTGTCGGGAAACTGAGGAAACTGTGACACACATGTAAAATCTCATATTCTACATAAATAATAAACCACAATAAACAAAACAACGCTTCAAATTGAAATAAATTAAATGTTATTATTCTAGTCTCAAAAATAAAAATGAGGAATATCAGAATTATTAGCCCCCCTGTTTTCCCCAATTTCTGTTTAACGGAGAGATTTTTTTCAACACATTTCTAAACATAATAGTTTTAAAAACTAATCCATAATAACTGATTTCGTTCATATTTGCCATGATGACAGTACATAATATTTTACTAGATATTTTTTAACACACTTCTATGCAGCTTAAATTGACATTTAGGTTTAACTAGGTTAATTAGGTTAACTAGGCAGGCTAGGGTAATCAGGCAAGTTATTGTATGACAATGGTTTGTTCTGTAGACTATCAGAAAAATAATATATAGCTTAAAGGGGCTAATGATTTTGACCTTAAAATGTAAAAAAAAAAAAAAAATACTGTGAAAATTTCCTTGCTCTGTTAAACATAATTTGGAAAATATAAAAAAAAAAAACACAAATTCTAATGGGGGCTAATAATAATAATAATAATAGTAATAATAATAATAATTTTTTTACTTTTTTTTTTTTTTTACTTTTTTATATATATATGAAATTCTTTATTTACAAACAAAAACATCTTAAATCCTCTACCTCATTTGCTAATTTTTTAATTGAAATTGATTCCTTGCTTAAAGCTATGCATTTTTCTAACAACAAAAATTCTGCAAGTTAATGGAAACTTATGAATATGTAAGGCTTCCAGTAAGTTAGTCTCGGTTGCTTTCTGTTTTTATTCAATTTTGTACTTCCCCGTTCTTTATTTTGTTCTCTTTTTTTATTTTTTTATTTCTTATTTGGATACTTATTGTTCTTATCACCTTGTAACTGTAAGTTGTACCTTTCTCTTACAGATCACTTCCTAATTTACATTGTACATTTCTTCTTTTCTAAATAAAAGTAAAAAAAAAAAAAAATACAGGTTATGTTTATTCATCATTAATTTTGTTTCTAATTCATTGTTGTAGTCAGAGTAAAGCAACACAGATGTAGGCTAATCTGATTGAGAATTATTTTATGATTTATTTACAAAACAATAAGCAATTCACAGACCTGTATTTCACTGAAAAAAATAAAATAAAATCTATGTAATGTGTATATTCATTAACTGTTAAGACTTGTTTACAGTTCCTCATTAAGCTTTTTTAGATCTGTAGACCTTAAGATGCAGGTAGATTAAGAATAAGAATGCGAAATTATAGCTAAACAAATCCTACCATCATCCTATAGATATTTTGAGCGGTTCATGCAACTCAGAATAAATTAAGCAATCACATAAAAGGTATTATCCTTACTATAATATTAAAACAGAGAATATTAGAATATTACAGCGAACCAATAATTATATGAAAGTGTTTTACACAACTATTGCTATCGCAGGGAACAGGTTGATGTTTCATAGATTTCCAGTAGAGGGAGACATGGATATTAAACTGGGTCTGGTGTGATGAGATGGTAATCTGGAACAGAAGAATTTTTTCTTATCTTGACTATATTTTATCATGACTGTTTGTGCTCAGTGAAAGAAATAAACTAGAAAGTGCTTCTTTCTGTATGACAACTTAACTGTTGCAGACCAAGAAGCACTTTCTAGTTTACCTCCTCATCTATGGGCAACCCATAAGGATGACACTGGTCTGGTGGTATGTCCTCCATACGAAGCCACTTTAAAACATAATGTCCCCGTCAGCATAAAACAGTATCCACTAGGTGAGGAAAAGGCTTTGGCCATTGATTCAATAATCGCCTCCTTTTTGAAACAAGGGGTCCTCAGACCCTGTCAAAGCCCTTACAATACCCCTGTTAACCCCGTTCCGAAACCAAATGGTTCTTGGCGGTTCACACAAGATTTACGAAAAATCAATGAGGCCGTAATACCAATAACGCCTGTTGTGCCCGATGTACCAACCATCATGTCTAGTATCAATTGTATACATGATACTTTTTCTGTTGTTGACCTCTGTTCTGCCTTTTTCAGCATTCCTGTAGAAGAGCAGACCCAACCTCTTTTTGCTTTCACCCACAGAGGAATCCAATACACCTGGACCAGGTTACCCCAGGGGTATGTCGACAGTCCAGCCTACTTTTCTGCAGTAGTACATGATTGTTTACAATCATTAAATATGCCTGAAGGGGCTGCTGTCCACCAATATGCTGATGACCTCTTAGTCACAGCACAAAACTATGATACGTGCAAGCATGCAACCATGCTTCTGCTAAATCATCTGGCACACTGTGGGTTTCGAGTTTCCAAAGAGAAGCTACAATTTTGCCAAGACAAGGTAATATATTTAGGTCATCATTTGTCAAAAGGCCAGAGATCATTGACAACAGACCGTATTACATCTATTGCCACACACCCTATCCCCAAAACAAGACAGCAACTACTGTCATTTCTGGGTTTGGTCAATTATTGTAGGCAATGGATCCCTGATTGTTCGCATTATGATCACATTCTCCGCTCATGTGTAGAGCACAAAGAACCACTAACCTCGCCCGTCATTTGGACAGATGAGGCTCGGGCAGCTTTTCATGCTCTAAAGAAGGCTATTTGTTCTGTCCCAGCTTTAGGCTTACCAAATTATGACCTTCCTTTCCATTTGTATGTCCATAATGACGACAGAACCATTGCAGGAGTGTTGGCCCAGCAACACGGGGGTGGCATGAGACCTGTCGCCTACCTGTCAAAGACTTTAGATATAGTGGCTCGGGGCCTCCCCAGATGCTTACAAGCTATTGCTGCCTGTGCAGTCATGGTACAGGATGCAGAGAAAATTGTTCTCTCGCATCCTCTGATTTTGCATTCACCACATCAGGTCACGCATGTATTGAATAACCTCAATACACAGCATTTATCGGCCCAGAGAAGGGCTGGTTATGAACACGTTTTGACTTCTACTGCCAATCTGACTGTGAAAAGCCTGACTGGCCATAGTCATATTGCCGCTGCCCTCCATCACATGTTATCACCATTTGATGATGAACTGTTGGTTGAACAACATGACTGTTTGGAGGAAATCAATGCTGTCTGCTCCATAAGATCTGATTTGGCTGAAAGACCACTACAACATGGAGAAGTCATTTTTGTAGATGGCTCTTGTTCAAAGCCACAAGATGGCGTCTACCTCTGTGGTTATGCTGTGTGTGCACTGCCTGATCAAGTTATAGAAGCCCGCCCTCTACCTTTTAAGTCCGCACAAGCGGCTGAACTGTATGCCCTTACTCGAGCCTGCATATTATATGCTGACAAACCAGTTACAATCTACACAGACTCTAGATATGCCTTTGGTGTGGCACATGATTTTGGCGCCATCTGGAAATCTAGGGGATTTATTGCCGCTGACGGTAGACCAGTGTCCCATCATACCCTCATAACTGATTTAATAACGGCCTGCCATCTTCCCTCGCAACTGGCCATTGTTAAAACTCAGGGCCATTCGAAGGAACACACTGATGAAGCCAAAGGAAACGCTTTGGCTGACCGACATGCTAAATTAGCAGCACAACAGCCTTTGCCTGAGGACTCTATGCACGTTTCCTTGTTGTCTACAACCTCGGCTTCGGGGATGCTCCCTGACATTGATTTGGCTATGTTACAAGCATCAGCCACTGACGAGGATAAGTCCTTCTGGGACGCCTTTTCTTCCACGTTTGATGAAAAGATGGGTCTATGGCACGACAAGACAGGTCGCCTATGTCTCCCACATGTGGCACTGTCATTCCTCGTCCACGAATTTCATGGTGTCACTCATCGTGGACGAAGAGGGGTACATGAAACAATGCGATCTTTGTTTTGTGTCCCAAAATTAGAAACCACCATTAATAACATACTTGACAAATGCCTTATATGCGCTCAATATAATGTATCAAAGCCTGTGGCACAGCACCAACATTTACCAAGACCAATCACACCTTTTTCTGAATGGCAAGTAGATTTCACGCATATGCCCAAGAGGGGACCGTTTAAGTATCTACTGGTTTGCGTGGATAAATTTTCAAAATAGGTAGAAGCTTTTCTTTGCTCAAGGGAAAATGCAAAGGTGGTAACACAGAAATTGATCTCTGAAATTATACCTAGATATGGGATCCCACAAAGTATCGATTCAGATAAAGGAACACCTTTTACATCAAAGGTAACGCAACAATTGGCAACTGAATTAAATATAAATTGGCGTTTCCACATACCCTATCATCCACAATCATCTGGATTTGTGGAGTGAACTAACAGAACCTTGAAAGGAAAGATAAAGAAGGCCTTAAGACAACACGGTCATAAAGATTGGGTAAAAATTTTACCAATAGTACTAGCAGATTTGAGAATGACACCACAAGCAAATTTGGAATCTTTATCACCATATGAGGTGGTCATGGGAAGACCTTTCCCTATCCCATGGCAAGGGGGAATTATGGGAGTGGGTATTGAGCTTTCTAACCACATGTCAGAATTCTCAGCGGCCCTAATTCAGAAACTTAATCAGTATTGGGAAAGGGTAACAAAGAAACACCCTGAAATTTCACTTGAGGCAGCACACCCTTTCCAGATAGGGGACAAGGTGCTAATAAAAGATATAAAACCCCAGAAAGATTTAACTGACCCCAAATACGAAGGGCCAGC